ATTATCTAAATCTCGGAGTGTATATTTAATAGGCTACACCTTCTCCCTCAAACTAAAAGAGACTTTACAGAGTACAATTAATCAATGCTGACAAGTCATTAACAGGATTAACAAGACTCCATGAGGTCTGAGTTTGAGATTTGCCACAAGCTAAATTGAGAGTAAGCCTGAGATAGAAGGATATGAGTTTGTTTATTAACTTGTTTTCCTTTTCCTGTTCAGTTCCATTTTCTTCATTTCAAAGCCCCTTTATTTAAAATTTCTCTGCAGGAATGGTTATTGATCTACAGGCAATTAGCGTATGGATACCAATCACAGTTCTTAAGCACACTGCTGGCCCTCAGCCAGGGCAGGAGGATTGCCCAGAGAATGCATCATTTCATGTTTAGGCTTCTGGAAAAGTGGAAGAGGAAAAGAGATACATAGAGGGAGCTGACTGATTTAAACTCAAAAGCACAAACATTAAAAGATAAGTAGGTGAGGGAAAAACCCTTTCTTTGAAACAAGACAATATGAAGCATTCACATCAGTCGGGTCTTTTAAGAACTGTGAATGGTGCAGTTTTCTTGAACAAGTGAATCTTTAGAGATTCTGTTACAGAAATATTTTCCTGTTTGTAGAATAGGAAAATGACTTCAAGTTTCTTTTTTTTTCTTCCAGAGATAAAGAACTTCAAATCACCCGAGTGACAAACCAGTTTATACTTTCACTGCATGTTTAAATTTGTGGGGCTTTTTTTTTTTTTTTTTTTTTTGCAACAGTACCTTTATTGCCACAGATTGGCTTTAGTAAAACTTAACATCTGGTCAATCACAACACCTTCCAGGCATTTGTCCCAGGGAAAAATCCCAGAAATCATGCTACATACTCTATACTGGTTAGTCCTGGGGGAGGGGAGTGGACTCCAAGAATGCTGCATATAAGACAAGGCTGTTTGGTTCACAAGCAGAAAGTTGAAACTATTCACTGAAGAGTCTGGTAATAAATCACTTTCCCTATGTTTGAACTTCTGGCCTTTCCTTGCAAATAGCATGGTCTATTTCATGTGATTGCGTGTAAATGACATGCCCCTATTGCAAAACGTCTTAAAGCTTTTACTTTTGCCTCCTTCCTGTGCACCATATGCTCCTACCCAGTGGGTGAGCCCTTCTGGTGCAAAACCAGTGAGTGCTTAAATAAATGTATTCATTCTTGAACAGCTTTGGAGAATTCCAGATGACCTCTTGCTTTAGACAGGTGCTTGATTTTTTTTTTTTTTTAAGAGAAACAGTAACAACTTGCTGCTCTGGAAAGATGATAACCTCTCTCTAAGAAGGGTCAAGGAAATAGTGAAGAACCTTCAGCAGAAAGGGAAAATTCTAGCGAAAGTAGAAAATGGGGATGGCTATCACCCCAACCCCCACCTTCAGCCTAAATGAGAGAAAAAAAGTCCCCACACTCGTGAGGACCTCCCCCATACCCTCTTCTCAGGACCAGAGCTCTTCTTTGGGGGTATTCTCGTTCGCCAGTGTGAATCAGAGTTAGGACTTACACTTACTTACCCGGTCTTGGCGTTTCTGCTGAGACGTGGAAGCAAGACGTGTACGGCCCGTCCGTGCAACGATTATCTAGCCCTCGGAGCTGAAGAGGGCACTGGAAGGTCCCCAGACGCAAGCCCAGTTCCGTCCGTTCCGATGGTGCAGGACCGCCAGCGGCGCGCGGAAGCGCGGCGGAGCGCGGCGTCCGCCGGGCAGTCGAGCCGCTGCGAGCTGGCGCTGCTCCGCACTACCGCCGACCTCCGGGGCCAAGCGCGCTGGGGCACCGCGCTGCGCCGCACAGAGCAGTCGGCTGCGCTGGTGAGGATGCGAGGCTGGTGGGGGGCGGGGGCACGGGGGTGCGGGGAGAGGCAGCCCTTCCCTGGGAGAAACAACAACAACAACAACAACAGGTACAGAAGGGCGGGGGGCGAGGGTCCCGCCGCGCAGAAAGCTGGACGGGAAGTTTCCGTGGCGAGGGAGGGGGACAGCGTCCACGGTGTCGCCGCTGTCTCCAGGTTTCGAAGCCCGCGCAGCGGGACCCGACTCAGCGCGGCGCCCCCTCGCGGATCCCAACTATCGCCTGCAACTGCTAGTTTCACCCCTGTCTCCGGCGACCCCCAATTGTGATATTTTGGCCGTTTACACCACTCCAACCTCCTTTCCCTTCCACGAACCCCTTCCTTTGCTCTCCGCTTCTCCGTTCCGCGAGAGATGGCCCTGCAAAAAGCTCCTAGATTCGGGGTTCACCAAATCAGCCAGGGAAAGTCGAGGGCGAAGGCGAAGGGGACTCAGGTTCGGGCGAGGGTGCTGAGGTCACGGCGCAGCGAGCAACAGGAGACCTCGAGCTGGAGGGAGGCAGACGTGGAGGCAGAGGGCCGTGCCTTGGAAGGGCTGAGAAAACCCCACAACTTCCAGCCAGGAGTTGCTTCTTGTTTTGCTTGTTTGTTTTTGTTTGTTTGTTTGCTCATAGGAGCAGAGTGGGGACCCGGACCCTTGCAGAACCACAGAGGAGCGTCGCACAACTGCGCCAAGGACAAACCCAGGGCACTCACACCAGGGGCTGGAGCCGTCGCCGCGCTCCCACGGGAAGGTAAAACGAGTTCAGATGCCTGTTGCCCACCACTGACAATTCCCCTAACGGGTGTCTGCTGACAGTTTACACGTTGGGTATTGTGAGTTCAGATTCAAAAGCCGGCGCGCAGCGTGTGTGATGTGCACTCTGTCTCCCTGCAAAAGGTAGAATAGAAAGAGAAAACAATGGGTGACAAACAATCTTTCTCCAGTTAGTTGACTTCCTGATCCTTCGCTCTTTGATCGTGACCCAAGCCACTAATGCCAGGATGAGTGAGTGCCTGTGGAATACTCTAATCTTTTTGTGGCGAAGCCTTGTTAATGCCTTGAGCCATCAAGCTGAGTTAGTGGATCAGAGCAAAACAGGGTTGTGGCATCAGTCCACGGCGCTGAGGGGTCTGTTTCCTCGGTATTCCTCCCAGAAACTCTAGTTAGAACCATTCCTTATAGAAATTTGCAACCAGCCTCTCTGTCCCTTGTTCAGTTTTAGAGGGGGAAGCAGATCCTGCCAAGTTAGGAAAACAAAGGCCTGAAAATGGAAACCAAAGTCTTTCCTAACTAGCCCGTGTTGAGGTTTTGCACACATTACTTTCCCTCTATTCATCAGTGTCTTTATTTCTGAAGTGACGATGGCCATACTCAGTTCACTTGGAATTTCTCTTAAGTAGAAAAAAAAAACAGTTTAAACAACTCAAAATAATATTCTTTGCAAAAATATTAGTTATGGCTTCCCCTAAAGAAGATTGGATTTTCAGTCTTTTCTGGGCTTGCCCACACCTTCATAATATTGCATGTATAAATATCTTTATACAGCTTAATCTGAAATTGATTATCTGGTTAATGTAAAATTATGCCTACAGGAGCATAGACATTATTTATAAAACAAAGCAGCTTGGGCTTCTCAGTTACCATGAAAGAAAAGTAAACTGAACTGGAAATATACAAGATGTTCCATATAATTCTACTTAAAATATTTTTGTAAATATTTCTTAACTTGGGGAAATATTCCTTGTCACGCCTGTGTTTTGTGCAACAGGTTCCATGCTTCCTAATATATTTGCACCTGTGAATAGTGAACTCTGTACCCAGGAGTTGTAATTTTAGAAGAAAGAGTAGGAGTGGCTTGAAACAACAACCACAAAAACATATAGAAAGCACAGAAGAGCAATCAGATTAATTGCTTCGGAGGGTTTGACTGACTTCGATGACATTGATTCTACAAACATTTTTGCCTCCCATACAACTGCCTTTTAAAAGCAGCCTAGCAGTCTTATACAAATATTTATCTTATTCCCTTACAGACATGCGTGTCTTAGGAAACACCCATAGTTCCACAGACATCTCGTCAGCAACTTTGAGAAGACTAAATGACCTCTCTCTCTCCCAATAAAGTACAGAATTGGATGAAAAAATGGATTTATTGAAATTAAAGTTGCTTTATTGTGGTCATATTATCAAGGATAGCTTTGGCAATGAACTCATGACATTTTTGTGCATTCAAGTCTGACTGATACCTTTTGATGTGTATACACTGTGAGCTATCATAACAATGAACCACTCTGATGAATGCCAATAAAACCTATCAAGACACTGGTAGAAGTTTGTGGAAGGAGTAGTGAAATATGGATTGATCCATAGGGAGACAGGACAGGATTATTGCTGCCTGATTTCTCTTGTGTCAAATCATGGAATTTCTCAGGCAAGTTCCACAGCTAAGAAGAATATACGTTGGTTGTTCCTCAGATAGGGAACAGACTCAAACTCAGATGCCTACCTGGGCTGGGCCAGTGACATAAATGCCCAGCTAAGTTGTGGGAGACGGTGGGGAGTGGTGGGCACTGCCACACCCGTGAGAGCACAAAAGTACAAGCCTTTTCTGAAGGAGGAGGCTGCTGATTCCACTGAGCTGCCCTGCAAAAATCTCAATCCAGTATTGTCAGATCTGACATTTTAAGAGAACAAAAATGCATATTCTTAAAAATCTTTCCAATTTTAAATGAAGGAAACTAATTTTTAAAAAAGTCAAACCCTTTGGATGCCTGGATGGCTCAGTAGGTTGAACGTCCAACTCTTGATTTTGGCTCAGGTCATTAATCCCAGGGTTGTGGGATCGAGCCCCTCTCTCTCACTCTCTCTCCCTCTCCATCTGCCTCTCTCCTCTGCTCATGTTCTTTCTCTCTAAAATTAAAATATTGAAAGAAAAGCTTTTTTAAAAATAAAAGTCAAGCCCCCAGGTGGGCCAAAATAAATAGACACGGATAGATAGAGCAAAACCTGCAGCCTGGCCTGTGGGCCTCCAATATCTGATATTAGTATGTGAGGTTTGATAAACCTCCTAAAATACCTAAAACATAACTCTATTATCATTTCCCCTACCCCACAGACAATTCCTCAGTGCACATGAATATAAAAGGAATACAACCAAAGATTAATTGCCAAGTAAGTGTTTTTCTTTCCCACTTCTGATTGAATAGATATTCCCAATGAGACTCTGAAGTAAAGGACCTGGTCAATAACTGAACAATCAGTATTTATATAGTTACAATGAAGAAATTTCAGACAAACTCTTTGTCAAAAAAGAAAGATAACATCAGTAGAGAAAACCACTTGTGATGCACTTACTTTAGATAAAGTTCATGATGATATGGATTTCCTTCCATCTAAATTTATTTTGAAAGCAAGGAAGCTTCCCCCAAGTTGTAAATAATTTCATTGTTTACACTATAAAAAGAGAAAACAGAAAAAAAAAAGCAAAGAAACGAATACACATCATCTAAAACATCACTGTCCAATAGAACTTTCTGCTGATGGTAATGGTGATGGTAATGTTCTATCTCTGCATTGCCCAGTAAGGTAGCCACCCAATCACACGTGGCTATTGGGCACTTGAAATGTGGCTAGTACAACTTAGAGAGTGAATTTTACATTTAAAAATTTTTCAAAAACACCAAGAAGAATAAGTATGTTTTGGTTCCTAATGGAAAGTCCTCCTGGGGTCATTTCTGCCAGAAAGCTAGTTTGTTTGTTTGTTTTCTCACCTTAATGTCAAGTTTCCCTGAAAGACTATTAAGTAACTCTCAACTCATACCAAACCAACCTAAATCACAGAACAAAACAGTGTGGTGCAGCTGATTCCAGAAGAAGAAAGAAAGAAGCTCCATAAGTCAGGACAGCAGCCTAGGAAAGGAAGAAGATTATAGCACCAAAAGAGAGTAGCAAGCCCAAGCAAGGAATTCTCTAAACCCCAGTAATGGAAGAAAAGCTCAATGAAGCTAATAAAATAATGTACTTAACACAGACTAAACAAACAGAGCCTAGTGACAAGTCCCTAGTAAGGGAATAATAATCACATTAACTTAACAGTTAGTTACAGTGTTTAGTATATTTGAAAATGATTCTGTCTTGCTTTATTTAAACGTTCAATAGGGGCACCTAGGTGGCTCGGTCGATTAAGCGTTCGACTTCAGCTGAGGTCATGATCTCTCAGTTTGTGAGTTGGAGCCCTGCATTGGGCTCTGTGCTGACAGCTCAGAGCCTGGAGCCTGCTTCAGATTCTCTGTCTCCTCTCTGTCTGCCCCTCCCCTGCTCACACTGTGTGTGTGTCTCTCTCTCAAAAATAAATAAACCTTAAAAAAAAAAAATAAATGCTCATAAATTTATTTATTTATTTATCCTCAGGCTTATTAGGTCCTTACAGAAACTCTTTGTAAAGTTTCAATAATACTCCCTTGTAGTAAAAATTATGGAACCTAGATATCCTAATGGCCATTTGGTTATAATAATGATGTTCAATTGGTTGTAAATAGATTTCTGATTGGATGTGTGTCCACCTTTCCTTTCAGGGAGGAAAAAAGCACAGTGGGAGTGAAGTTAATAACTGATCAGATACGATGGAAGTTGCATCAACTTGACATAGAAAAAAGAGACCAGTTTATATGAATGGAGCTGGAAGTGTGTTAACTTTTTAAATAAGTCTTTAAATAAACTAAGTTTTTAAAAACTGGTCTAATCGCACTCTTGATGAAAAGGCTGTACTTCCTTCTACATCCTTACAAACTTGGTTCATTTGTAACAAGTGGACCAGTAAACATGTGAATGGATACGAAGTGGTCAACAAATAGTTTCACAAAGCTGATGGGCTAGATTTTCTTAAAAATTTTGTGGGCAGCAGTATGTTATGAAGACAGGTGTCTCATTCAAGAAAAGCAACTAGTCATTCAAAGTGAAATGTATGCTAAATCCTAAGTTGAGCATAAATATCATTTGCTATGATTTGTATTTCTATGGATTTGGAGTTATTTTTGTTTTGAATTTTTAATTGCAGATTCAACGTGATTAAACAGGATTGTAAGCACTATATGCAGCATTTTGCTGAGATTTTTATCTTTCAGTGATCATCCAAAGTATACTGAGACTGGTAAGGAACCAAATCTAAAAGAATATTTAAATGCAAATGATTCACAGTTCAAATTTTAACATAGAACAAAGGAAGGGAGATTTTTATGTGGAATTCAGAATTTAATCAATGCAAATTTTCATTTGATTATCTGAAACATGCACAGAAGGCCCGTGGCTACAGAGGAAACATGCACCCTCTTAGAAATTTCAATTTTATTTAATAAGTGTTTATCCTTGTAGCATATACAGACATAATTTGATATATATTTTTTGAGTCATACCCTCAAAACAAATTTAATTTTTAATTTTTTCTCAAAAAACTCCAAGCAAAATTAAAGCTCTCTCTCATATGAAATTATTATAGGTATCTCTTGACAGATGAGAAACCAAAGATTTCTATATAATTTTTACATATCATTTTGGAGATGGTAAAACGGCTATTCAAAGTAAAATTTTTAAAACATTAATTGTATACTGCAAGTAAGACTTAGCTTAGGACTCACTACTCTTTATTATAAAAATGAATTATATACAATCCATATAAATGTTTTATTACTCACAACTCCTACCGATAAATCTTTATTGAGTATCTAATTTGTTACAGACACTATACTAGACAATGTCCATACCACCATGAATTACACACAGACCTGCCACTGATTGTCTCTAGTCCATTAAAGGTGTACAGACTTTTAAATAAAAAAGTTCCATAGGAGTGCCTGGGTGGTTCAGTTGGTTAAGTGTCTGGCTTCGGCTCAGGTCATGACCCCATGGTTTGTAGGTTTGAGCCCCGCATCGGGCCCTGTGCTAACATCTCTGTGTCTCCCTCTCTGTCTGCCCCTCCCCCTATCATGCTCTGTCTCTCTCTCTCTCTCTCTCTCTCTCTCAAAAATAAATAAACATTAAAAACTTTAAAAAAAGGGGCGCCTGGGTGGCTCAGTCGGTTAAGCGGCCAACTTCAGCTCAGGTCATGATCTCGTGGTCCGTGAGTTCCAGCCCCGCGTCAGGCTCTGTGCTGACAGCTCAGAGCCTGGAGCCTCTTTCAGATTCTGTGTCTCCCTCTCTCTGACCCTCCCCGTTCATGCTCTGTCTCTCTCTGTCTCAAAAATAAATAAACGTTAAAAAAAATTTAAAAACAAAATTAAAAAAAAAAAAAAAAGAAGTACCATAAACAGAGTAAGATTCTCTAGTAGACTCTGACATTATAGATTCGGGGCCACAAGGAAGGAATGGTCAGTTTTTTGTTTGTTTTTTCTAAGAGTTATTTGTTGGGAGAATAAGGAAATGCTTTGTTGGGGAGGTGACTCAACTCAGTGTAAACCTGGATAGAAACGATTCTTGGCTTTACCCAGCACTGGGATGCCATTTTCTTCTCCACTGCGTTAACTTGGATGTGTGCTACTGAGACAATGCGGAACTTTCTGAGGAAGAACAATCACTTACACATGTCAAAGTGAAGTTTTCAAAGTTAAAAGCATTATTCTCAAACAAAATATATAGTGAGCACATATCAAATATTTAATTGATTAATAAGAGCACCAGCACAATGGTAAAGCTGGATTAAAGTAGGATCGCAAAGGTAGATGCCTATATCTAGCCAGCGTAAGACAAAGTCTTGCATAGAATTAAGATCTTAGATATAAAACAGGTTGATTGGGGTGCCTGGGTGGCCTAGTTGGTTTAAGTGCCCGACTCTTGATTTCAGCTCAGGTCATGATCTCACGGTTTGTGAGTTCGAGCCCCACATCGGACCCTGCATTGAGCCCGTCCCCTCTCTCACTGCCCCTCCCCTGCTCACACTGTCTCTCTCAAAAATAAATATTTTTAAAAAAACAAGTTGATAGCCTGCTGTACAATAAAGCAATAAGTTACAAACGTATATTTTCCACCAGACAGAAATCATTTGCATCTCTACTGGACAATAATAAAACTCAATTTTCTAAAAATTTGTATCAAACTTCATTTTCTGTAAGTTTGCAGCAAACTTATAGAGCCTGGGCTCTAATCAATAGTAAATAATAAGTCAAATTAAGTAAGTTACCATCACCTGACAAGTCAACTGATCTTCAGGCTCCTAAGGCAATGCTCCAATCTGACATTGAAAAAGCATACAATCGTTTCACTCTGCTTTTTCATTGCCTGACCACCCCAAAACCTAGTGACATAAAACAGTTATTTTATGCTGCTCCATTGTGGGTCAGAAATTTGGGAAATGCTTAGTTAGGTAATTCATCTCCGACCGACATGGCCTCAGCTGGAGACATAGGATTCTCTTCTAAGATGGTACCTTCACTCACATGCTTGGATCTGGGCTGGCTTGGCCATAGTAGCTGGAGGATGCCTCATATGTATCTCTCTTCACACATGGCAATCTCAGAGTTGCCAGACTTAATGCATAGCTTTTGGCTTCCCCTAGAGAGGACTTTCTAAAAGAGAGTATTCGACGAGACCCAGGCAGAAACTGCAAGGCTTCTTATGATCAAATCTCCCAAGTCTTAGAACATCTCTTTGGTTACATTCTTTTGCTGAAGCAAGTCTCTTGGGTCAGCTTATAAAATGGGAGAAGAGGCATATACTCCACCTCTGCATGAGAGAAAGGCATGTGTGCACCAGGAGGAGAGGAATTGATAATGACCTGAGAGAAATGTCATCACACATCCCTTTGCCTTATACTATTTTGGATGTATTTGTGTGTATGTGCGTGCACACACATGTGTGTGTGCATGCATGTGTGTGCAATACGTCCATTAAAGAGGGGCTTTTCTGGGAAAAGAACAGCAGCCTCAGAAATTCCACAGTGAATTTTTCTGTTTTGGCTTGGAATTCATAAATTATCCGAGATCTTAGACTGCAAAATCTGAGATCATCTCTGCCAATGGAAGCCCTAAGGCAAGAATATATGATAGAAATAGAAGAGGTGCTTCCAACATCTGCACTTAAGTGAACACAGTGATTGTGATAGGTACAAATAAATAACTTTAGGTAGGTTTCCCCCATAATGATTTACTTAATGCAAACAGTACTCAAATTTGTTCTCAGAAACCCCAGGTAATATGACAGCATAACATTGCCTGATAGCCAATCCCAACATTTAACTACCACATTCTCAACACTGCTTTCATTGACCAATACAGCCCAGGAGAGACTGGAGACCTCTATTCTCTACATGGCCTTATTGCTCAGTAACGCACACAAGTTGGTCTTGGAGAAGTATATTCAAGAGTGAACACATATTACATTCTTTCAATTTATGCGCAATTTCTTCTTGCAAAAGGCTATTAAACTTTTAGAACATACAAGCTTAGAAAGTTATTTGTACCTAACTACCTGATAAATGGCACTGTTAGCTGTGTTTTGGCCTAGAAGTCATCATGAAATTTCTGCCCTCGGGCCTTGTCTACCTGGGAGTAACATTTTGTTCATGTAGGAGGAGTTCATTTAATTTAGTTAATCATGTTAGTTTCGTAATACTTGAAACATTTGATTTGAAAGCTATTTTTCAATGAAAGATACTGTTGGGAAACTATTCGTTCACTTACAGAAAAAGGATTTAATAAAAGCTTGTGCGCAGGTGTAGGAATGCAGCGCCTATGTTTTACAGAGCTCTTGGAATTATTCTGCTTCATCCCACCCTAGCATGGACAACAGAGAGCTCCTCCTAGACAGGAAAGTAGGAAGGAGGGCAGGAAGAGACACAGGCACATAAAAGAAAGTAGAGAGGGTACACTTCATAACAGAAATCGTAAGTAGCATGTACGTATGTATGATATTGTAGTAAGAACATTTAATTTAGGTCTATTCTCTTAGGTATATGATACATGATTGTTGACTATAGGTACAAGGTTGTACAGTAGAGTTATATAGCTTATTCATCCTGGTTGACTCAAACTTTGTCTGGTGAGTACTAAATCATGCATAGTACTTAAACTCCAAGTTGTGACTAGGTTTATCCAGTAATATGATATCTATACAATATAATAATAACACAAGTATTATAGTTCTACTAAAATCATTACCAGGAAAACCATATGATAACGTGGAAAATTTTAGTGCAAACAAATATTTATTTTTAAATGCAAAAAATGCACTTGGGTGGCTCAGTGGGTTAAGCGCCCGACTCTTAGTTTGGGCTCCCGTTATGACCTGACACTTGGTGGGTTTGAGCCCCACATCAGGCTCTGCGCTGACAGTGTGCAGCCTGCTTGGGATTCTCTCTCTGCCCCTCCCGTGCGCATGCATGCTCTCTCTCTCCTCTCTCTCATGAAATAAATAAAATTTAAAATATAAAAATAAAATAAATGCAAAAACTCTGTCTCTAAAGTATAACCACATATTTTTAATTATGACTATGAAAAATGACTGGAAGGAAAATATACTCCAAAGCTAACTATATTTATGCCATACAAACTATATGTGGTTTTTTTTCTTTTGTCTTTCTTCTCGCATTTTCTTTCTTTTTTTTTTAAGAATTTTTTTTCTAATGTTTATTTATTTTTGAGAGAGGCAGAGACAGAATGTATGTGGGTTAGGGGCAGAGAGAGAGAGAGAGGCACAGAATCCAAAGCAGGCTCCAGGATCTGAGCTGTCAGCACAGAACCCGACGCGGGGCTTGAATTCACGAGCTGTGAGATCATGACCTGAGCCGAAGTCGGACACTCAACCGACTGAGCCACCCAGGCACCCCTCTTCTCGCATTTTCTTAAGTTAACCTTATTATTTTGAATAATGAAAATATGTATCATATAAAGTTTATTTTAACAGAGGTGGTTCTGGCAAAGTGAAACATATAGAATCTGTTCTTCAGACATTCATGAAATCTCTCAAGATTAATAGATTTACTGTTCTGTCCACAGAGTGCTCTTCAAACACCACAGCCCACGGTAGCTCTTCTCAACAGGGAGCCCACATTAGAATCGCACATGGAACTTTATAAATGCAAAGATGAGAGGGTCTGATCTAGTGGCATGGTTACCTTTGTCTCTTCCCTAATTCAAACTACTACTCCAAACTCGAATCTAG